GTTTGCACGTCCTCTCCCGTTAATACGGCAGGTAAATAATCAACTAACAGTGCATATTATGTTAGCGCGATCTGCCTTATTACAAAACCTGCCATTACTGTGCATTTAGGTGACCATGATGAGAGAGACAGACAGAGTCTGGATCAGATGCTGGCAGTTCTCGCTGCAGTCTACCGGTAGCGTCTCCTTTCAGGCCAGGATAGACGAATGTCACCGAGCAGTGACTCAGTTTGTGGTAAAAGGCTTGAACCCATTTGCCACAGCAGATGCCCCCAATTTTCGGTATGTGAATGTGTTTAATTGTAGGCAGGGACATTACTGGATATTCTTGTGTAATTGCAACAGAATAATTTATGTTATACTTTGTTATTGCTACAGAAGAATATTTATATTATTATTTTACATTTACAATTTTTTTTCCTGGGGACCCTGTGCCCATTGAAAAGCCGTAGGCTGTGGATCTCTTATCTCACTGTTGGGTTTGTAAGGCCGTGTTACTCCTAAATTTCTATCTTGTTCAAAGAGAAGATATAAAACAAAGTTCTAAGCTAATCGACCTTAGTGTTCTCCTTTTTTAAAAAGAATCGATAAAGAATCGAATCGTTAAACAGAATCGAAAATGGAATCGGAATCGTGAAAATCTTATCAATACCCATCCCTAGTCATTAAGATATTCTAGTTGCTTTACGAAATTTTTCTTCAGCAGTGATCTGTCTCTCATTTGGGAAAGACAGGCAAAATGTCAGTGTGTACAGAATTAGATATTATTATTAATAATAATCAAAATAATTACAGATTAATGTCTGTAGAATAATGTTGGCGATTTTTCTTTGTCACCTTTGATGAAGAACCAATGTTTCTGACTACAGGTGCTGAGATGCTGCTCCAGCAGACTCTTCGCCTCCTGCCAGTCGCCTGCGACAGCAAAAAGATTTTTATTTTTTAATCCAGTTAAAATTATTGTATTATTGTAGGGCACTACTGCAGACCATTGTATTGTGTAGCATTATTGTGCCTCATAGGTTCAGCACCAACATCAGAATCAGAAAAACCTTATTAATCCCAGAGGGAAACTAAGTTGTCATAGCAGCAAATATACAACAAACAACATGCACTCACTGAGCTTACGAAGACAGGGAGCTGCTACAACAGCCTGCCGCTAGAACAGCGTCATCTTAAAAGACACATTACTGGTTGGTGATTCTGTTATTAAATGTTGAGTCTGTTGTATTCTATCCACCTCATCAAATCATAATACTCAGTACAACATCTTCATTTGAAGGAAAACAAATAGCTGAACACAAACGATTAAAAAAAAAAACAAGGTCCTGCTGGAAGCTCCAAGCAGACAAAATTAGCTAAGAGAGAGAAACCCTGTAGACAGTTATCGAGTGAGGCAACTAATATGATTATAATGTACTCACCCTCGACCCCCCTCAGAATAACCCGAACTAAAGATACCCCCAGCGGAGAAGGCCGGCTTTGTAGTTGGACTAGGACTAGTAAAGACAGCTGGCTCACTCTCCTCCCATGTTAATGGCTACCTTGCAAAGAGACCAAGCTGTCCGAGCTACGAGAGCGTATATGTTTCCAATTACGCATGAGAAACAGAAACGTGATCTGCCGGAGACCAGAGGGGCAGCAGTAAGGAAGCTCAGTACAGCCCACACAATATTTGCCTCAGTCGGCTTGAAAAAAACCTCAAACTCCTTGATAACAAGTATAATGACTGTGGTTACACTCTTTCTTCTGAAGGCCTACTTTGTGCTCTGGGCGGGCACGCGCACTACGTCTTCTTCGTCTTTGTGGTTTGTCGGCGGTTGGCAACAAACGTTGGCAAACAAGGATGTGGTGTAATACCGCCACCAACTGGTTTGGAGTTTGTTCATGATTCGCTCATACCAAATAATAACACTAATAAAAAAAATAAAAATAAAAATAAATAGATGAATACTACCGCATATATACATCCTCGTATCCTTCCATACAAATTAGCCTGTTTTAGAAACAGGCTAATAAAGCCCCCAAAAACTTTCACATCTGGATTTCCTTTTCAAAAATCCTTTATATCTTGCTTAATCTTGTTTTCCCCCTGGTTTTAAATTATATAACTTCTTTCTTCCTGATCTATTTCAGAGTGCAACAGAACATGTTCTATGTTTGTCATTTATTCCACAGCGACTACATTTCCCCCCTTGATGTATCCCTGTAATGAATAGTTTACAGTTTAACCCAGTGTGTCCAAAAATGAATCTCCTCTCTCCTGGTGCTCTCTGTACTTCTTATGTGTCCTGTTTTCCTTTGAATAGAATAAAACCACCCCCTTGTCCTCTCCTCCTCCCACCGCTACCATCTTTTCCTCATTTTCTGTGAATTATCATGCTCTCCATTTCTGCTTTGCTAATACTGATATTTAAATGTATCTGATCTCCTTTAACAGTATGTTTTGCAATTTTATCTGCCAATTTTATCAGCTTTGTTATTATTTTTATAATTATGTATTATACTGACAATTTCATTCACACAGCATTCTATATAAAACAGCAAGTATATGTAAACTTTCAATTCCTTTCTGCTTAGGCGATTGTGGCTCAAGAGTTGGGAGTTTGTCTTGTAATCAGAAGGTTGCGGGTTCGAGCCCCGGCTTGGACAGTCTTGGTCATTGTGTCCTTGGGCAAGACACTTCACCGGTTGCCTACTGGTGGTGGTCAGAGGGCCCGGTGGCGCCAGTGTCTGGCAGCCTTGCCTCTGTCAGTGCGCCCCAGGGCAGCTGTGGCTATAATGTAGCTTGCTATCGCCAGTGTGTGAATGTGTGTGTGAATGGGTGAATGACTGAATGTAGTGTGAAGCGCTTTGGGGTCCTTAGGGACTAGAAAAGCGCTATACAAATGCAGGTCATTTACCATTACCATTTACCATCAGATGATATCAGCTCAGCACATAAGCAAATCACAGAAGAATGGGGCATAACTGAGAAGGTGATTGCAGTTGTCACAGACAATGGTGCAAATATAGCTGCTGCAGTTCATAAAGCTGGATGGAGGCATCATACATGTTTTGCACACACACTGAATTTAGTTGTAAAAGACAGTGTCAAAGCTGTCCCAGAAGTGGTGCAGGTGCTGGAAAAATGCAGTCGTGTCCTTTTTTCACCACAGCACAAAGAAGCTCAAGGATATTCAGCAGTTGAAAATTTCAGAACACAAGCTAATTCAGTCAGTAGATACCTGCTGGAACTCTGTCTTTTACATGTTGGAGTGGATCTGTGTGCAAAATAAAGCCGTGACCACAGCCTAGCTTTTAGGGAAGAATGCATTGTGCTTAAATGTGGGAAAATTATCCCTGATTAAGGAAACAGTTGATGAAGAAGTAACACAGGAAGTTTAATCTGAAAAACATGTTTAGGTCTCCAAAATTATTCCACTTGTGTCACTCTCATGCTCCCACTCTAACTGTAAGCTCAACACCTACTGTTGGTTCTGTCTCAGGGCCTTCTACTTCAGGGTCTATCCCGAGTCCTCCACCCGAAGGTCCTGCTGCAACAAAAGGACAGATTTTGACATGCAGGTTGTGTCAAGCCAACATCACCTGTCAGCTTTCAGTGATGTACTAATTAAAATACGCCGGTACTCAGAGGAAAACCTAATTCCCTGAAATAAAGATCCATTGGTTTGGTGGCAAGAGCATGAACAAGCCTTCCCATCCCTAAGCAGACTTGCAGTGAGATACCTAGGAATTGTTGCTTCTTCTGTACCTAAAGAGAGAATCTTTTCAAAAGCAGGAGAGGATGTGAGCAAAAAACGGAGCAGATTTAAAGGGAAAACTGTAAATATGCTTTTGTTCCTAAACAAAAACCTGTGAATAAGGGAATGTGTTACTGTCAAATGTTTTTGCTGAAATGTAAAGCCAAGATAAACGTTAAATGACATGTTTAATTATTTTGAAGGGGAGAATCTTTGGTTGCCAGTCTTGAAGAACACCAGCGCATATCCACACATGAAAGATGGAGGGTCCAGATACTTATTTTACACTTAATGGAGCACTGTGGGGAGTATTTCTTGTATATAAACTATATCAGCTATAAGGTTGTTCGTGGTTTGTGTGTGTTGTACGCACACATGCACACACATACACACAGACACACACTCTTCATTTTCATGACTATTTACATTGTAAATGCTCACTAACTGAAAAACATAGAAGTAGGCATTAAAATTTACTGCCTAATTTACTGACCTCTACATTGGAGAGACCAAACAGCCACTTCACAAGCGCATGGCACAACATAGAAGAGCCACCTCCACAGGACAAGACT